AATAGGAAAACAGGGTGAATGGGAGCAGGGCCAGGATGTGAAGACACAGGAGACTAAAACCTGTCTCTGGGATCAGAACAATGAATTCGGAAGGGGGGAAATACAAAAAGCAAAAAGACATTTTGCTAGCCATTGCTGAGGGAACAAACAGGACAGTGCTTTTTATAGCCATGAAAGTTGTATCCTGACTCTGGGGACTGGTGATGCCAAGATGTTATTTTAGGTGCAGATCATCTACAAAGATTTTAGCCTGCTGAAGCTATGGTTAGCCTCAAAGGGCGTGTCTACACAGCAGGGCTAAAGCAAAAATAGACTATGCTACTTAAGCTATGCAATTGAAGTAGCTCAAGTCAAAATAGCTTAACTCAGCTTTTGGCGCTGTCTACACAGCAGGAAGTCTGAGAAAGAACACTCATCATCCGACTTTCCTTACTCCTCGTAAACTGAGGGTTACAGGAGTCAGAGTCAAAAGTCCTCCAGCTCGACATTATTTCAACATGATGTTAAAACAACTGCTTGTAGTGTAGACACAGATGATGTTATTTCAGAATAACGTCAGTTATTCCAAAATAACACTGTTGTCTACACGTACCCTTAGAAGCGAGTTATGTTCTTGTTCCATTTCTAACCCTATGGCTGCATCTAGACTGGCATGATTTTGTGGAAATACTTTTAAAGGTGAAGTTTTTCCGTTAAAAGTATTTCCGCAAAAGAGCATCTAGATTGGCAAGGATGCTTTTACGCAAAAGCATCCGTGCCAATCTAGATGAGCTTTTGCACAAGAAAGCGCCAATGGCCATTTTAGCCATCGGGCTTTCTTGCGCAAAAAATTAAGGTGCCTGTCTACACTGGCCCTCTTGCGCAAGTATTCTTGCGCAAGAGGGCTTATCCCTGAGCGGGAGCATGAAAATATTTGCGCAAGAAGCACAAATTTTGTACATTACAAAGTCAGTGCTCTTGCGCAAATTCAAGCAGCTAGTGTAGACAGTTGGCAAGTTTTTGCACAAAAGTAGTCACTTTTGCGCAAAATCTTGCCAGTCTAGATACACCCTATTTGTTTCTCATATCCTTACTATCACTTGAATCTCTATCTTTATTAATCAACTTTTCTTTGATTTTTCATAAGTAGATTTAAGTGCTGTAATATTAAACAAAGTGTGAATTCTTAGTTGGGTCAAGAAAGCTGGCATGTATGCCGTCTCTTTGGAGGTACCTTAGTATTTATTGAGTGTCCTGTGACAAAAGCAAGATACCACAAGGAAATGCTCTTCAAGGAGACTCGGGAACTGAGATGCACCAAATATTACCTGCATGTCAGAGGACTGGCAATGTACTGAGAAGTTTATCTGGGGTGGCTAAGAGACCAGGCATGACAGGGAGTTGTCAGCCAGCTCAGTGCCAGCCTGCCTCTTTTGCTATGGTAGGGGGGTAATTAGGTCACTCAAAATCTAGAATGCCCTGAGAAAGCATCATGCTGACACCAGGGACTGATGTCTGGCCTCATACTAAGGACAGTGCCATGTAGCACTGCAAAAGATAGCATGTGACTTTGTGGGGAGTTTTCCCTGGTGCAGACCCCTCATCTCCTAATGGGTCCAGGGTGTATTCTTGTGTGAGCCATGCTCCAAGAAGGGCACCTGCACAGTGCAAAAAGGGTCACATGTCACACACATTTATCACGGTGTATTCACCTGCATGGCACAGGGCAGCACAGAACCATCCCTGATGACAGCAGCTCTAAATACAGGAGGCCCTGCCTGAAGCAACAGCTGGGCGAAGTGCAAACTGGCTTGTTTCCTCAATGGAACATTAGTTCTGAGCCCTCATGACAACAGAATGCTTTGTTGCAGGAGTTAAAAGGTACAGAGAGTAGAGCTCAGACAATGCAGCAGGCCAGGTCACTGGAATCTCCCATTTTTCAGATTGATCTGACATATCTGAACTCTCCTCATTTGCAGAGAAACAAGCCTGGTCTGCAAATGGCTTAGTCCACCGCTCCTGTCCCACTGTGGCCTTTCAATCTCTGATGGTCCCGTTTTTACTAAGCACCCTGGCTGCGCCTGGCCTCTCTAGAGACACTCTGCTCTAAGAGCCAGCTCAGGTAAAAGGCATGGAGGGGGTAGCCAGAACTTGTCCTTCCTACACCACAGTCACAGCATTCTGGACCCTGCAGGTACAGCCTTTCTGTTCACAGGAGCAAGCAGGATGGCCATCCCAGATCCTGCACTTCTTAGGGCACCAACTATCCTATGGATGGGAGGGACCCAAAGGGATTATGGAGACCTGGCACAGCACAGCAGCAGGGGTCGCACACCCTACATTCACCATGCAGGAGGCAGGAGCCTGAGCTCTGCCCCGCCACCATCTCCTGGCCCACTGTGCTCAGCTTCCAGCCCCATGGTGCTCTGCTTCCTGCCTCTGCAGAGAAGTAGGGCACAGCAGGCTGGGAGAGGGTGGAGCTGAGCAGGCTGCTGGGGCACTCCAGCTCTCCTGCCTCCATGGTAAGTATGGGCGGAGGGCGACCCCTGCTTTTGCCACTGCACCAGGCCCCTGTATTTCCCCAGGCTGCATTGCTTGGAGGAGGGGGCAAAGAGGTGGGGCAGGGCTTGGGGAAGGGGTAGAGCAGGGGCAGGGTGGGGGCCTGCAGTGAGGGGAGCTGGGGTTGCTCCAGGCTCTGCACCTAGGGGGTATTGCCCTAAGCCCCACATTCCCCTCAGGATGGCCCTGCCTGCAGGTACTGGAGCCCAGCAACTATAGGCAAGTGCCCTTGGCCTAATGTGAGACGTTGGGTCCCAGGGTTCTGTCCCCAGCACTGCGAGGGAAGTGGGTTCTAGTGGGTAGAGCAGGGCTGGGTGTTGGCACTCATGGCTCCTGCTGCTCTTTTCTGCTTGGGGTGGGGGTGAGCTGTTCCCTAAGCCCTCACCCCCCACTGCCTGGGCTGGGACTTCTCTCAGCCAGGCCTGGCAGCTCAGCCAGGGAGCCAGGTGGTATTGAACATAGG